GGTGGATGGGAAGTGATCAACCTCAACTGTATCTGCAGAGCCCGTGGGCCAGGCAACAGGGTGGTGAAGGCCTGGGGTGGGGGTGGCTAGAAGGGGTCAATGTGGGAAAAGGGGGAACATGCATGATACTTTCAACAATAAAGATTTTAAAGGGGCAAAAGTCTTGAACACACAGACATTTTACCAAAGAAGTTATAAGAATGGCCAATGAACATATGAAAAGGGCTCATATCATTGTCAGAGAAAACAAATTAAAATCAGAATTCGCTCGCCGAAGCCGGTTTGGCTCAGTGGATAGAGCATTGGCCTGTGGACTGAAGGGTCTCAGGTTTGATTCCAGTCAAGGGCATGTACCTTGGTTGCGGGCACATCCCCAGTGGGGGGCATGTAGGAGGCAGCTGATCTGTGTTTCTCTCTCATTGATGTTTCTGACACTCTATCCCTCCCCCTTCCTCTCTGTAAAAAAAATCAATAAAATATATATTAAAAAAAAATCAGAATCGCTCAAAATAAAGTAACCATACCAAATGTTGGTGAGGATGTGAATAACTGGAGTATCATATTTTTTTTTAATTGATTTTACACAGAGAGGAATTGAGAGGGATAGAGAGTTGGAAACATCGATGAGAAACATCGACCAGCTGCCTCTTGCACACACCCCATTGAGGATGTGCCCGCAACCAAGGTACATGCCCTTGACAGGAATCGAACCGGGACCTTTCAGTCCCCAAGCCGACGCTCTATCCACTGAGCCAAACCGGTCCCGGCTGGAGTATCATATTTTTTAAATATCTTTTTTACTGCTTTCAAAGAGAGATGGAGAGGAAAAGAGGAACATCGATTGACCACCTCCCACATGCCCCCCACTGGGAATCCAACTGGCAACCTAAGCACATGCCCTGACTAGGAATTGAACTGGCAGCCTTTCAGTACACAGGATGATGCTCAACCAACTGAGCCACACTGGCCAGGGCACACATCCACACAAAGACTCATATACACAAAATGGGGCAAATCCATACAATGGAATACCATCCAGCCATAAAAAAGTGAAATATTAACACGTTATGTGGATGAAGCGAGAACACTACGCTGAGGGAGTAAGGGAAGACACAGGACCACATAGTGTATGAGAATGTTTTAAAGCTGGATTGTTCCTCAACTCTACACACTTAAGAATCATTAGGGGGGGAAATCATTGAGTTGTATACTTACATACACATGCAATGACGCGTTTGATGTGTGAATTGCCTATCAATAAGGCTGTTTAAGAAAGTCGCTGAGTAAAAGCACCACATTCCTTAACATTTTCTTTTCCCAACCTATTTTTAGAAAACAATTTCAACAAACAAAAGGAGGGAGGATGTTTATCATAGTATTTAGGAACCATCTAGGAAAAAAAAAATCTAAAAAATATATGCAAAACCACAACACAGAAACCTACAGAAAGGGAGAAACCAAAGGAGACCTGAATAAAGAGGTGAACCACACCATGTACACAAATCAAGACTCAATATTGTGATGATGTCCATTCTCCCCAATTTTAACACAATTCATCATTCCAGAGTCTTGGCTGGTGTGGCTCAATTGGTTTGACGCATCAAAAGGTTGCTGGTTTGATTCTGGTCACAACATGCACAGCTGGCGAGCTTGATACCACCTCCCCGTAGGGGTGTGCAGGGGCAGCTGATGGATGTTTCTCTCCTTCTTCCTTCTCTCCCCAAAAGTCAGTAAAAAATTATTTTTAAAATCTTAATTGGCTTTTAAAAAATAGGTATATTTTTATTGATTTCAGAAAGGGAGAGGGAGATGGAGAGAGAAAAACATCAATGATACGAGAACCACTGGTTGGCTGCCTCCTGCAGGCCCCACACTGAGGATCCAGCCCACGAGGGCAAGTGCCGACCTCCTGGTTCATAGGTCAATGCTCAACCACTGAGCCACTCCGTCCAGGCCTAAAAAAATCTTTTTTTTTTTTTTTTTTTTTTTTTTTTTTTTTTAAATATATTTTATTGATTTTGTACAGAGAGGAAGGGAGAGATAGAGAGTCAGAAACATCGATGAGAGAGAGTCATCGATCAGCTGCCTCTTGCACACCCCCTACTGGGGATGTGCCCGCAACTAAGGTACGTGCCCTTGACCGGAATCGAACCCGGGACCCTTCATTCCCCAAGCCGACGCTCTATCCATTGAGCCAAACCAGTTTCGGCTAAAAAAATCTTTTAAAAAAAAAAGTCTTTTGGTTTCATTTTAGATACTTGACAAGCTGTTCCCGCACCAGATAAGGAAATGCAAAGGACTGTGGGTAGCCCAGTGTCTGAGAGGAGGAAGTGGAGGGAGGGCTTCTCACGGTTACCGAGACCCACTGAGAAGCCTCCATGGTGCAGGCGGAAGCTGAGGGGCAACGAGAGCCCGGAGAGGACACCGAGCTGTGGGGGCACCGAGGAGCAGGGAGCAGGGCAGTCCCTGACCAGACGGTAGTGAGGCCCCGGTGACCCACTGAGAATTAAACGTGGGCTGCAGAGCAGGTAGCCTGCAGATGTCCAGGTGAAAGGTAGTGTTTTCAAGGTATTTTAGAAGATCATAAAAGTCATGTGACAAATAGGACCTGAAACCAGTTTGATAAATTGGACTACATAGCCCTGACTGGTTTGGCTCAGTGGATGGAGCGTTGGTCTGTGGACTGAAGAGTCCCGGGTTCGATTCCAGTTGCGGGCACATCCCCAGTGGGGAGTGTGCAGGAGGCAGCTGATGGATGTTTCTCTCTCAGCAATGTTTCTGACTATCCTTCTCCCTTCTGTTCTGTAAAAAATCAATAAAATATATTTAAAAAATAAATTGGACTACATAAAAAAACCTTTTTGGGTTTTTTCCATCTTTATTGTTGGTATTTGAGAAATCAAGTTTGTGAGATTTAAGGAACAGCGTATGAGACCACATTAAATTAACAACCATGATAAAGGACACAAAAAAGCAAACTACAGGGTGAGCAGAAAGCATGGGCTCCCCACCCTGCCAGTGGCTTGCATCTTAATGTGACTTTTTTTTTTTTTTTAAATCATCTTATAAATTAGACTTGGCAACCAAATAGAAAATTGGCCAGAGATGGCCAGTGAGCCTGAGCTGCCATCTCTCTGGTGACGGAGAAGACACAGACGGTGAAAGCATGGCGCCCCCCTGGGGGTAAGAGCAGGCAGCGCAGCCTGTGGTGCTAAGGTGTCCCAGGATGGAGTGGTTCCCAACTGTTCTGGAAGGGCTACTGCAGAACTGGCAGGAGATTCAAAATTCCCAGCCCGCCCCAGCCAGCGTGGCTGAGTTGGTTGAGCTTTGTCCTGTGCACCAAAAGGTGGCTGGTTTGATTCCCAGTCAGGGCACAGGCCTGGGTTATGTGGTGTGCAGGAGAAGGCCAACTGATGTTTGATTTTTCTCTCCCTAACAAGAAAGCAAGCAAGCCAACCCCAGCTGCCACAATCCTGTAAGGCTTTCCCAGACGCGCAAGCTCGATCACAGGAATTTCCTGTCCCAACCTTCAAACGCTCAGTGTCAGCACCAGCTCTCCTGTCCACGTGCGCCCCCCCCCCCCCCCCCGCCTCACTGTCCAGCGAGAGGCGCCGCTGGCCCAGAGCGCCCGCTGAGTCCGCACTTTCCGCTGTGTAAATGTGTTTGCTCTGTAAATTTCTGGGTGCGGACTTTCTCCCAGGCAGATCTATAATTTCTCAGAAGCTGGGAAATGACCTGGAAAAATGTCCAAGCTCAATAACGGGAGGGAGATAAAGCTGCCTCCCCCCACAGCTGTGAGGCAGGGGAAGGACTGCCCCTGGGAGGCAGGGTGAGGCTCCAGGCCCTGGGCCATGAGTAGCTTCCAGACCCCACGGAAGGATTCGGATAGCTCCCACCTGCCCCCCCCCCCCCCCACCGTCCACCGAGCTGGATACAGGAATGTTCCACTGAAAGTCCCCTAAGCCTTCCAGACCCCAGGCCGAGTAGGCACAGGCAGTCGGAGGAAGGGTCCCCGTGGAGGAAGGGATGGCCGGAGGGCCAGGCTGCACCTGGTCTGAGCAGGAAGAGCAGACTAACGGGCAGGTAAGGGCGTGGTGGGGCTCCCCAGGCTCCAGCAGCCTTGCCAGCATCGCCCAAGTTCTGACGTGGGGCTGAGCGCAGGCCAGGCACTGGGCACGCGTCCCACCGGCCTGTTTACAGAACGGCGTGGCTGTGTCCCCTCAGGAGCCTGCAGACCGTAGGGGGGCTCCCACAGGCAGACGCCGGCCCTGGGCCAGGCCCCCTCCTGCCCCCCACTCTTCCAGGGAAAGCGGCGCCTGCCTGCCTGCGAAAAGCAAACACCGGCAGCTGGGCTGTGCCAGGCATTGCCAGCAGAGGCTGGGGGAGGGGGAGTGGCCAGACACCAGCTGACCCTGAGGTCACAGAGAAGCCAAGGCTGGGCTGGGCGACCCCACCCAAGTTAGGAAATGGGACGGGTGGTCAGTGTGCCAGGCAGACGGGCAGGCCATTGGGAAATGTGGCGGCTCCTGCTTAACCCTCACATGGCCGTCGGCTCGGTGCGGGGACCAGGAGAGCGACCCAGGAGGCCCATCCGTGGGCGGGGTTCCTGGAGTCCCCAAAACCTAAGCAAGCACCGGCCCCTCCCAGGCTGCTCCAAGGTGTTTTACCCCCCTCCCCCCAAGCCTGCTGGCTAACTCTGCAGGCTGGGCTGGGCTGGGGGGGTGGGGGGAGAGGCCCCTGTTGGCCCTCAGAGCTGCACCATGGCCCACCTTGGACCCTGAAGGTGTGGCTTCCGGATGCACGTAGCCTCCCTCCCTCCCCCGGTCTCACCGTGTGCCATCTACACCCAGGGCACCAGGCCACCCGGCAGGAGGGGGTTAATGGAGCCCAGGGCCAGCAGAGGAGTTGCCTGTGACAGGTGCCGGCTGCACCAGAGGTGGGGCAATCAGAGGGCAGGCACAGCCAGCCCCAGCAGACCTGCCGTCCGCTCTGCATGCGGGATGGCCCCGAGGAAAGGTGAGGCTCCCCGTATCCCGTCCACCAGGCTCTGCAGCCCCTACACATGGCTCGGCTCTGGCTGGGCCTGAACTTTTGGGAGCCCATAGGGGAATGGGGCGGCAGGGTGTTGGGGGGTGCAGCTGAGCCTGGCCCCAGAGGGTCACCTTTTCCTCTTCCTAAGGGCCCAGAACAGCAACACAAGGGAGGCAGGGGTGTCTTCTTCAACCCCAAACCAGGGCCCGTGCCCTGGGGACCCCATGGAGGGCGAAGGCCTGCCGCCCTCCGAGCCTCTTGGAGGCCAAGCCACTGGTGTCTTGTTCCACCTCAGGGCCTAGGCCCATCCAGTTGGGTGCGGATTACCCTTCTGCGCTGCCTCTGCCTCACCCTGAGACCCCAAGTTCTGCAGGGCAGCCCCATGGCCACGAGAGGTTCTGGGGATTGTTGCTGGGGAGCGTGGCACCCTTTGTCCTGAAACAAAACCTGACCCCAGGGAGTCGATGGTCTTGAGCCAATGGTCTAGGGTCCCTCCTTGCCGCTGCGGGCAGCACCACCTCTCTCCTCACCACGGTGCTGGGCCAAGTACCTGGTGCAGGCTGAACGCATTTGGTTCACTGTTCAGCCTCCAAAGGCAAGAAGCGCATACCCAGACTGTCTCCAGAACATTCTCTCGCTCATGCCTTCCTCTAGGCCAGTGGCCGGCAAACTGCGGCTAGTGAGCCCCATGGGCGACCTGCAGCTTGCCGCTCTGTTGACTGATGAATTTGCCGACCACTGACACAGACTCTCGATTCCAACAATTACAGGCTTTTGTTCCTTGTGAGTAAACCCCTGTCCCAGTGGCCAGCAAACTCCTTAATCAACAGAGCTGCAAACCGCGGCTCAGCTTGCAAGCCGCAGTTTGCCAACCGCTGCTCTAGACCCACCTGGCAGCCTGGCCCGGTTGGCTGTCCCTCTCAGGGACACAGATGGACACAATGGCCTAGTCACCAGGTGGCCAGCCCTTAGTTTTCTCTGGAACAGGCATTGCCCGTCAATGCTGTGATTGTTCTGAGCTGGAGAACATCCCAGTTGACCTGCCTGCCTCCTGCCTCCCTGGGGCGATGCATCCTCAGCTCACACCTTTCTCTAGTCCAATCCGCAGAACCTCCCCTCAGGCTGCTATGGAACGGGGCCAAGTTAAATGGCGGCCCAGCTGTGCGGGCTGAGGCCTGGACGTCTCTCCGTCTCACTCCGGGGTTCACATCCCGCGCCCCTTAGTGCCACCTCTCCCACGTTCCTCTCCCCGCAGGAGGCCTGGCCCTGGCTGTGCTGCTGGTCTCCTGGGCAGCGCTGGGCCCCCGGGGCCTGGAGGGAGTGGAGCCTGGAGTGCCAGGGGACACCGAGGGCCTGCAGTGCCCAGCCGTCTGCACCTGCGGCCACGATGACTACACAGACGAGCCCAGCGTCTTCTGCAGCTCCCGGAACCTCACGTGGCTGCCGGAAGGCCTGCCCGACAGCGCCAGGGCCCTGTGGCTGGATGGCAACAACTTCTCCTCCATCCCCGAGGCCGCCTTCCGCAACTTCTCCAGCCTGGGCTTCCTCAACCTGCAGGGCAGCGGGCTGGCCAGCCTGGAGCCCAAGGCGCTGCTGGGCCTGCAGAACCTGTACCACCTGCACCTGGAGCGGAACCAGCTGCGCAGCCTTGGGGCTCGCACCTTCCTGCACACGCCGGCTCTCGCCTCGCTCGGCCTCAACAACAACCTCCTCAGCAGGGTGGACGGGGGCGTCTTCCACGGCCTGGCCAACCTCTGGGACCTCAACCTCGGCTGGAACAGCCTGGCCGTGCTCCCCGACACCGTGTTCCGGGGCCTGGGCAGCCTGCGGGCGCTGGTGCTCGCCGGCAACAAGCTGACCTACCTGCAGCCCCCCCTCTTCCACGGCCTCGGCGAGCTCCGCCAGCTGGACCTGAGCAGGAACGCCCTGCGGGCCATCAAGGCCAACGTCTTTGTCAAGCTGCCCAGGCTCCAGAAGCTCTACCTAGACCACAACCACATCGCCGCCATGGCCCCGGGCGCGTTCCTGGGCCTGAAGGCTCTGCGCTGGCTGGACCTGTCCCACAACCGCGTGGGGGGCCTCCTGGAAGACACCTTCCCGGGCCTGCTGGGCCTGCATGTCCTGCGCCTCTCGCACAACGCCATCGCCGGCCTGCGGCCCCGGACCTTCAGGGACCTGCACTTCCTGGAGGAGCTGCGGCTGGGCCACAACCGCGTCCGGCAGCTGCCGGACAAGGCCTTTGAGGGCCTGGGCCAGCTGGAGGTGCTCACGCTCAACGACAACCAGATCCAGGAGGTCAGGGCGGGAGCCTTCCACGGGCTCGCGCACGTGGCCGTCATGAACCTCTCCGGCAACTGCCTGCGGAGCCTCCCGGCGCGCGTGTTCCAGGGCCTGGCCAGGCTGCACAGCCTGCACCTGGCGGGCAGCTGCCTGGGCCGCGTCGGCCAGCACACCTTCGCCGGCCTCTCCGGGCTGCGCCGGCTCCTCCTCGGGGACAACGGCATCGCGGCCATCGAGGAGCAGAGCCTGTGGGGGCTCCCCGAGCTCCTGGAGCTGGACCTCACCTCAAACCAGCTGACGCAGCTGCCCAGCCAGCTCTTCCGGGGCCTGGGCAAGCTGGAGTACTTGCTCCTGTCCCGCAACCGGCTGTCGGCGCTGCCAGCGGAAGTGCTGGGGCCCCTGCAGTCCACCTTCTGGCTGGACGTCTCGCACAACCACCTGCAGGCCCTGCCCGAGGGCAGCCTGTCGCCGCTGGTGCGGCTGCGCTACCTCAGCCTCAGGAACAACTCGCTGCAGACCTTCGTGCCACAGCCCCCTGGCCTGGAGCGCCTGTGGCTGGAGGGCAACCCCTGGCACTGTGGCTGCCCCCTCCAGGCCCTGCGGGCCTTCGCCCTGCAGCACCCCACTGCTGTGCCCCGCTTTGTCCAGGCCGTTTCCGAAGGGGACGACGGCCAGCGACCCGTGTACACCTACAACAACATCACCTGCGCCGGCCCCCCCGGCGTCTCGGGGCTGGACCTGCGGGACGTTGGCGAGGACCACTTTACCCACTGCTGACCCGCCCTGGAGTCAGGACAAGCCCTCGCCGTCCCCGGAGCCCGGCCCGCACCCTACCCTCAGCTCCCGGAGGCCAGGCCCCTCATGCTTACTTGTTGGGAGGTCTCTTCTCCGGTCCTGGGGTTCGCTGGCCTGGCCCCTGAGGGCCAGATCAGGAGGATGGGGACCAGTCCTCCCGACTTCACTCATTAAAAGCAATCGAATAAACATGTGTGACCACTGGGATGAAACTTGGGGGAGGAGGGAGGCAGCATCAGCACGGGCTCCTGTGGAACGCTCCTGCTGCCAGCCCACCCACCCCGTGGCTGCCTCGGGGCCTCCCACCCTCCCTCTCTCCTCCGAGCTTAGATTCTTCATGCTCTCCCACCCCGGCCCCCGGACGCCACCTCCACCAAGGAGCGGAGGGCACTTACTCAGGTCCTCGTTAGGCTGCGTTCTCTCGGAGGCAGTCCGGCCCGGGAGCCGGAGCACAGCACAGGCAGCCTCAGCGCCAGGAGGCCCAGCAGCTGGTGTCAAGCGGGGCCAGAGCAGGTGCCAACCCTTTCAGACCGCCTGCTCCCAGCCAGACCCCTTAATGGCCCTTCCTTCTGCCCCCTCCTCTTGGCACAGGCCCCTCCCTCAGCACCCCAACATCCATGGAAGTGGTACCAAAGGTTGCCCCTCGGGACTCCCCTGCCACCCCCACCCCAGAGCTGCTACATCTCCTCTGCTGACAGCCCTCCTTCCCTCGGGAAGAGCGGCACCCCGACCCTGGCTCTGCTTTGCAGAATGGACTGCCCTCCTGCCTTTCTGGGACTGACTGCGTCCACTCCTCTTGTTCTTAGCTCTGCCCTAGGTCGCTGGTGTGGAGGCCGGCTGCGGGCCCCGTGCACACGTTTCTGACACGTCAAATTCCTCTGCAAACACATCCTCTCCCTAATCCTCAGGGGCCTGCCGATAACCAGGCTACTGGCCCAGCCCGGGACATGCGTTGAATGCTGTCTGCTGACACACAACCAGTCATACGCCGAGGTTGCACAAAGGCGGAACGGCCTAGAAATGTCAGACTTATAACCCTGGTGGCAGGACACATTTAATTGTGGGCTCTATAGCTAATACCTTACAGGGTGCTCCCGTCCTCAATCACAGCCCCTCACAGCCCTGCCAGCAACCAGGCACTTGAGGACAACCAAGTCCCCAGGCAACTTCCAGACCCACGAGCTCGGTGGACGATGCGGAGGTACCAGGAGTGGCCTGTCCGTCTGGGGCAGGCGAATGCCACGGCGTGAAGAGTGAGTGTGCAGGCACCAGAGCTCAGCCACGGCACCAGGACCGCTCGCTATCCCCAGGCCTGCACCAGACCAAGCCGGCAGAGCCTCTCAGTCAGCTGCTGAAGCACAAAAACCTCTCCCAAGGACCCGGGCAGGGGGAGGGCCACAGTGACAGCCCCCAGGCCGGCCCTGCGGGTCCCAGGAACCGCACCCAGGAACTCTGCTGAGTCTCTGAGCTGTATCCCGCGGCGCCAGGAGATGCCTTGGTCAGGGGAGCTGAGCAGGTGTCTCCAGGACCTTCCGGGCTATGGCGGCGAGGGCGTGAAAGGCAGGGCTGTGGGGAAACTCCTGGATGAAGTCTCGGCCCTCCTCCAGGCTCCTCGTGAGCTTGGGGTCCAGGGGCACAGAGCCTGCGGAGACGGAGGGAAGGGGGAAGGTGCTGAGCACGAGGCTGGGAGGCCATGTCCACACACCGCCCTCTGGGAGGAGCTGCTGTCATGCTGCTTCAGCCCGGAGCGGACACCCGTCAGCCTCGCCCGGGCCGAGGTGCCTACAAGGGCTTCAGCTCAATTTCTACTCCGACGGCCACCAGCCAACCCAGCAGGGCCAGCTCTGCTGCCGTGGACATTGCCCAGTTGCAGAAAGTGCAAGGCAAGCACTGGGGACACGTGGCCGGGCACACGTGTCCCCCACCAGCCGCCCCACAAAGGTGCTCCCAGAGCCAGTGACGCCCGCTTCTGCTCTCCGTGAGCACTCGGCAGCATCAGCCTGGGCTGTTTCTTTCCAGCTGGTCAGCAGCGGTCAGCATTAGCAACGAACTGATGCCTGCAGCTCGAGGAGGACAGGTGGACACGGCTACTGTCATCTTGTCACCTCCACACCAGGGGCAGTGGGCACGGGCAGGTGGGACCACCCAAGCAGAGGCCAGGAGCAGCCCTGACCACTCACCTAGGAAGGGCACTCCGGCGTGTCTGGCCAGCTCCTCGCCGCCTCCCCTGGAGAAGACGCTGGTGCACTCCTAGGACAGAGGCGCAGGGTCCGCCTGAGGACTCTCTCTGCGCCCAGGGAGCAGGATGGGGGGAACAGCAGCATCTTCCGCCCTCCCCCACTTCTCCCCACAACCCACACCGCTCCTGACTCACGGCGCAGTGCGGGCAGACGAAGCCGCTCATGTTCTCCACGATGCCGATCACGCGAAGCCCCGTCTTCTTACAGAAGGTCAGCTCCCGCCGCACGTCCCCCACAGACACCGCCTGGGGGCCAGGGAGGGGCCCGAACAGGCCAATGGGAGACCCGGACCCTCGGCCGAGAGCACCCGGAGCAGGGAGAAGCGCGGGGTGGGGAGGCACCTGGAAATGGGAGGACGCCCTGCCGTACCTGCGGCGTGGTGACCACGATGGCCCCCAGGGGGCTGTAGGGCCGGAGGGCTTCCACGGCCGCCATGTGCTCGTCGGAGGTTCCCGGCGGCGTGTCCACAACCAGGAAGTCCAGCTGTCCCCAGGCCACGTCAGCCACAAACTGCTTTATCAGAGCTGCGAAGGCCCGGGGGGGTCGGGTGGCAGGTCTCAAAAGGGGGCTCCCACACCCGCCGCCTCCACGCTGCTCCTCAGAACGTGGGGGGGAAGCACCATGCAGCAGGGTCCCTGCCCCCACAAGCACCACCTTCGTCCCAGCTGCTGGGCCACCTACTCTGCAAGCCTTCTGCTCAGGCCTCAGCGGAGGCCAGTGGAGTGGTGACCCTCCTGGGGCACCTGTGCCAAGCCTTGGGGACACCCCAGCTTTCACGGCCCGAGAAACGATGACCTGAGTGGACAGCTCCCGCCCTCTCCCCACATCCCTGCAGCCTCAGCCGGGGCTTAATGACACCTGCTGGTGCGGAGGCACCGGGGCCCCATCTTGGTGCCACCCCCCCTCCCCCCAACACACCCAGGGTGGGCTCAGGTCTGAGCATACCCGCCCTTCATAGCCAACAGCCACCAAGAGGTCTCGCTCTCATGGCCCACCCCTGCCATCCGGGCACCGCCACGCCCAGGCGCCACTGGCCAAGGGAGCAGCAGGAGGCTCTTGCTCCACCTTTTTTTTAAAGGAGTTTTTTTTTTAATTCTTTTTTTATTTTATTGATTTTTTACAGAGGAAGAGAGAGGGATAGAGAGCTAGAAACATCGATGAGAATCTTCAATCAGCTGCCTCTTGCACACCCCCTACTGGGGATGTGCCTGCAACCAAGGCACATGCCCTTGACGGGAATCGAACCTGGGACCTCACAGGCCGACGCTCTATGCACTGAGCCAAACCGGTTTCGGCAGCAGGTTGTTGTTGTTTTTTTTTTTTTTTTTAAATATATTTTTACTGATTTCAGAGAGGAAGGGAGAGGGAGTGATAGAAATGTCCATGATGAGAATCACTGATCGGCTACCTCCTTCACACAACCTGGACATGTGCCCTTGACCTAAATCGAACCTGGAATCCTCAGTCTGCAGGCCGCTCTATCCACTGAGCCAAACTGCTCAGGACTCCCGTTTGGCTTTTTAACTGAGCGCCTAGGGAGGCTGAGGCCGTGTGTCCCTCCGGTCATTACCGTTCTTCTTGGGGCCTCTCCACACCACGGCTTCGTCCGGCCTCTCCAGCAGGAAGCCCACGGACATGAGGGAGACGGTCTGCTCCTGGTCCACGAACACGGGCACCCAGCCGCCGTCACACTGGTGCACGGCCCTGCCCTGGGCCCGCAGCATGCGGGGGATGCTGGGGCCACACAGGTCCACATCGAGGATCCCCACCTGCAAGGAGCCAGGAGGTCCGCGTGGGATGTAGGGCTGCCCGAGGCAGAAAGAAAGCACGGCTTCCCGGGGTGTCTGCCCAGCGGGGAAGGGGCAGGAGCACCCGGGGGGGCCAGGTCTGTGGCTGAGGGCAGGCGGCGCTCACCTTCTTGCCTGCGTGACGCAGGGCCAGGGCCAGCTCCGTGGAGATGGTGCTTTTCCCGACTCCCCCCTTTCCCGAGAGGACGAGGATGATGTGCTGCACACCAGCCAGGTTTCCAGGCTCTGCTCGGGACAAGTGAGGAGACCCTTCACTCAGATGCTCTTTGCTGCTCACTCCCTGGGGCACCGTGCACCTCCTGTGCCCTGAGACCTGCCCCTTCATCCCAAGGCCATCCTGCAGGCCAGACCTGACCTTCGGTTCCTCCAATGCTGCTGCTCCCACTCCTGCCTAAAATGACCAGATTGCGCCGGGACCGGTTTGGCTCAATGGATAGAGCGTCGGCTTGGGGACTGAAGGGTCCCGGGTTCGATTCCGGTCAAGGGCATGTACCTTGGTTGCGGGCATATCCCCAGTAGGGGGTGTGCAAGAGGCAGCTGATCGATGACTCTCTCTCATGGATGTTTCTAACTCTGTATCTCTCTCCCTTCCTCTCTGTACAAAATCAATAAAATATATAAAAAAAATAAAATAAAATAAAAAAATAAAATGACCAGATTGCTCTTTTTTCTAGTATGCACATGTATAACGCGCGCATGCGCACACACGCAATAAGCCAGCGTGCTGGCTTCCAGCTGATTCCAATGGAGACTAATGCAAATTGGGTTGTTATAGCCATGACGCCTGTGCTTGGGCAGCTCCCACACCGCACACAGGACCAGGTGTGATTTTCAGGCACTCAGCCCGCTCCTCTGGAGTCAGAGCAGCACTCAAGGCAGCCTTGGCCTCCTCCAGTTCTCAGGAGGGTCCCTTACAGTCTGGGGGCTCCGAGCAGCTGCCATCATGGGTGTGTGTGTGAATGTCAATGTGCCCTAGGAAACCCTGGGTACAAGGGCAGGGGCACCCTGTGACTCCCACACAGGTCCTGAGACCAGAGCTATCTCTGTGGACCCGTCAGCCACCAGCCACTGACTCAGCTCCTCTTCCTCCCAATGAGCCCCAAAGGTTACCAAACAAACCCCTGCACACACAACCCTCCGCCCCTCTGCAGTGACCCCACGTTCTCGCTCCAGCCCCCTCAGGACCTTGCCCTGCTTCCAACAAGCAGCTCTCTCCACCACCCTCCCCACGCACAGACAGGGCTCACCAATCAACACGGAAATGGGTCCAGCCCTTCCTCCTGACCCACTCCATGTCCAAAGCCCGCACTTCCAAAGCTCCCAGGGCGCTACCCTGGCTGTGGGCGGGGCCTTGTCACCAATGCATTCAAGTGCCTTTCCTAGGTGTGCTTCTGGCACCTAGGGCTGGGACATCCCCGGCCTGGGACACTGCCTGCAAACATGGAGCCCCAGACCATGGCTTTAGGTCACCCCTGCAGCAATTTAAAAGGTTAATTACTTAGCCCTGGCCGGTTTGGTTCAGTAGTTAGAACGTCGGTCCTCGAACCTAAGGGTCCTGGGTTAGGGTCAAGGGCTTGTACCTCAGATGCTGGCTCAATCCCCAGCCAGGTTCAGGGCACCTGCGGGAAGCAGCCAATCAATGTGTCTCTCATATTGATGTCTCCCCCTCTCCCCCCATCTCTCTAAAAATGAAACATATTCCTGGATGAGGATTTTTAAAAAGGTTAGTTACTTAAATTGTTTTTTAACATCAAAAGGTATCCAGGAGCCAACTTCACTTTTGTTGGGGTGGAGGGAAGGGCTCAGGTGGAAACACAAGAGCCGGATCTGGATCTGGTTTAGCCAAGCTCCTAATCCCTATGACTGACTTTCCTTACGGGTGGGAGTGGGAAACTTTATCTGAGACTACACAGGCACTCAGCAGATAACTGGGGCTGAACTTCTCACCCAGAATCCTTAGGGGTTAACCACAAAACCTTTTTCCCCTAACTAAACTGAAAGTTTCTAGATAGACGAACCCAGATGCGAGGGCCTACTAGGTGTGAGCTGTGCTGAAGGGGCAGGGAAAGCTGTGTCTCCCCTCAGAGGAGCGCCCTGACCATAAACCAGGGTCAGCTTCATCCTCAAGCCCAGCCAGTGACGATGACTACCCGTATTTTCCGGCGTATAAGGCGACCCCTTAATTTTACAGTTAAAACATAGGTTTAGGCTTATAATCGCTGTATAAGACTACCCCCCACTTCCGAGGCAACACCAGTTCTTTTTTTAAAGAACTGGCCAATGTGAGCAGGCTTTTTACTAGAACACAGTGTAGCTTCGGGTATAGAACATGTATAATTTGCATGCATAAAAAGCCTGCTTGGATTGGCTGAGTCAGAGAGGCGGTCTATTAAAAAAAGAACTGGTGTTGCCAAGTCTGGTTTGGCTCAACTGATAGAGCATCGGCTTGGGGACTGAAGGGTCCAGGGTTCGATTCTGGTCCAGGGCATGTACCTTGGTTGCGGGCATATCCCCAGTAGGGGGTGTACAAGAGGCAGCTGATCGATGACTCTCTCTCATTGATGTTTCTAACTCTCTCCCTTCCTCTCTGTACAAAATCAATAAAATATATTAAAAAAAAAAAAAAAAAAAAAAAGAACTGGTGTTGCCTCGGAAGTGGGGGGTAGTCTTACACAGCGAATATAGGCTTAAACCTATGTTTTAACTGTAAAATTAGGGGGCCCTCTTATACGCCGGGAAATACGGTATTCGATACACTGGATAAGTTTGCAACTCTTCCTACATAGGGCATCTTTCTAGAAAAAAATACAAATAACGGGACAGGCCTCTGGGAATACCCAGATCCGACCTCTTGGATTTTTACCTGCATTTCCCCCTGGTTAAAAAAGAAGCTAACGCTTTTAAAAACTGATCAATCTAGATCTTACCTTGTAGCATAGTTGCCCTTATTCTAAAAACTCGTTTCAGCTGAAACCAGTTTGGCTCGGTGGATAGAGGACCGGCCTGCGGACTGAAAGGTCCCAGGTTCGATTCAGGTCAAGGGCACGTCCATTGGTTGCGGGCACATCCCTGGTAAGGATTGTGCAGGAGGCAGCTGGTCGATGTTTCTCTCTCATCGATGTTTCTAGCTCTCTACCCCTCTCTTACTCTCTATAAAAAATAAAAATATATTTAAAAAATAATAAAAAATTAAAATAAAAACTCATTTCAGATTTTTTCCTCTAGTGTTGTTTACAATCTGGTGGACGAATCGAGCTGTAAGAGCTTGGTGCCCAAGATACCAGACCCGAGGTCTTTTAAAAGATAATGCGGCAAACCCCTAGTTATGAAAACTACTTTGGTCCATCTGTGCAAACCTATCATACGCGCCCGTATCCGTCCAACAGAACTTTCAATTTTTCAAATATTAAGGTTTAGAAAGCTGAAATAAAACTCTCACAAATAACTAAAAGTATGTGATGTTCTGGTGTCTTTTTTACCACCCCACATTCAAACGACTTCTTCCTGGTTTCTTGGGTTATCTCCAAATCAAAAAATTATGGCATAACCGGGCAGTGTTGTGTTTTTAACGACAGACAGCGCACGTGCTCCGAGTTCCCCCGAATTCACGTTCCCGAGCAGCACTGCACTTACATGAAAACTTGTGACTTGAGGACGTTACACTCATAAGTACACGTGCGTCTCCGTGACCCTTACATGGCAAATAAGACGACTCGCTAAACACCCAGGGTCGCGACCAACAGCGGCGGGCCGGTCTCTTCCCGCTCCCCGCGGCGCCCGCACACTCACCCGCCGCCGCCTCCATCCCTCCCGCAGGGTGCGCGTCCGGCGTCCACTTCCGGCTCCGTCCGCCGGAAGCCCGAGTGAAGAGCCTTCGGGCCAATGGGCAGCTCGAGCCCGTCCCTTGGCCCTTCTTGATTGGCCCTTCCCTTGGCCCACGCTCCTCTTAGCCAATTAGGTTGCACAAAGGTTACGCAAGTTCCGGCGCGGACGACGGACTGGAGAAGGACCCACTTCCGCGTCAGTGCTGGAGTGTAGGGCCGCCTCCCCTGCTCGCCCCTCGTCCCAGGGGCGCGCCGCCTCGTCCCCGGCCGCTTAAGGTGTGAGCGGGGAGGACACCGGATCGGGGTTGACAGGTTCCGCAGCCTCCAGGCCAGAGGCGAGTGCCGCCCGGCCCGAGCGCCGGACCCGGGGCGCCAGCCGGGGCTGCACGGCCAGGGCGTTGCGGGGGGCGGGGATTGTTTACGTCTCGCTCTGGAGCGGAAAGTGGGTCACGGCCGCCGGCGGCGCGTGGCGGCGGAGCGGCTCAGGTGAGGGCGGGTGCGTCCGGACCCGCCCGGTTCGGGGCCCTGCGGGACCGCCGGCGGGGAGGCCCGGCCGCGCGTTGGTTCCTGCGGGCGGCGCCGGGGCCCGGGCCGGCGGCCCGCAGCGCGGGGAGGAGCCGCGGCACCGCCCGAAACGGAGATTAGTAAGAGGCTCCCGCTTCGGGGCTGGGGACAGTCTCATGGGCCGGTCACTTCGCGCGCTTCGCGGGTCGCCCACTGAGCGCTGCAGCAGCAGTGGATGGTGACTGGGCCGGCCGATTGGCGCCGGCTGCAGAACTGGCTCGGACAGGCAGGTGAAGGAGCCGTGCGGCGGCCTTGCTGGAGGGAGGGGACTCTGGTTCCACAGACGGCGCTCCCAACCCTAGAGAGCAGTGCCTGCGTTCATTCACCGACGGCGCTGGCCTGTGCCTGCCGCAGTCCTCACTGGGGGACAGTTCCTGTCCTCCTAGGGACTTCACTCCGGGGAGAGCTAGGCAGTAGGTGATCATACACATCGAGGTGTGACAGTAAGTCGGCTACGGAAACTGAGAGCCAAAGAGGGGAGGGGAAGGCAATCCGGGCAAAAAGCAGGGAAGAGCTAGCCACTGGGACGCGCGCGGCCACTGAATTGGAGAGGCGCAGCAGAACTTGATAGGCTTTGCCTTTTATCCTAGGAAATACGGTAATCTCTGAAGAGTGATAAGATTTAACCTTTGCTGGAAGTTTCAAGATTTATTTCAAAAACAGCTTGGCTGTGGAGTGGGTGGGGTGGGTGGAGGGGGACTGGCCCTGTGGAGCTGGTGTGTGGAAGGAGGAAGTCAGGTGGAGGGTGAATGCTATGAGTCTGGCAGTAGGAACAGGGCGGTTGGAGATGCCATTTGTCAAACAACAATGGAGGAGGGGTCAGGTGAGGTTTGAGATGCCTGAGGACATACGGGCGGTCCAGCTGGGTTCCCTAGGCTGAGCTGAAAGCGGGACTGAGATAGGCATTTGAGAGTCATGGGTGTCTGGATGGCTTTTCACACGCTCTACGTTTGGTTTATCAAGGTGCTTGGACATTTGGGCGAGGTAGGAGCTTCTGAGGCAAGTGCTGAAGCCCCAGTTTGGCACCATCTGGCTCACAAAATGCTCCACCTTTCGGGGGATGTGGCACAGCCAGCCACATCCAAATGCGGGGTTGTTGGGGGACCTTCCAGGGTGCCGGATGATTCCTTTGCTGAGAACCTGTGTTTTTTTCAGATCCTGTCCACCATGGCCAGGCGCCCCCGGAGCAGCAGAGCGTGGCATTTTGTCCTGAGTGCAGCCCACCGAGATGCAGATGCCCGGGCCATGGCTCTGGCAGGGACCACTAACTGGGGCTATGACTCTGATGGGCAGGTAGGTGGGTACGGCTGGATTAAGGTGTGGAGACCTGGAGGCAGGTCTCCCCCTACCCTCCCCAAGAAGCTCCTCCCCCTACCCCCCTAGTCCAGAGGGCAGGGACAGTAAAACCTACTGCTCACCCTGGGTTTACCCTAGTTAAGGATCCACATAGCCCTGGGATGGCAGGACCTCAGGATAGATTACCCCATTCCTCTCTATACACTTTCCACTGAAGAGGCTGGCAGTTGGTTCTTTGGTCGGTTCATTCAACAGAATATCTCCATTCCATTTCTTGTAACCAGTTTCCAAAGGTAGCTGTTGGCTAGCTCCATTGCATCCTCTGGGCGGTTCCCCTGCCTGTACAGATATGTGCTCTATCTTTGTGTATATTCAGTGAAACGATCTTTAGTCTTGAAGACCATAATTCTTGTGCCTTCTCTCTCTCAATTGCCCCTAAGTTCAGGTTGGAACAGCAGCTCAGCGGTTTGTCTCTGCAGGCTGCCTGGTGTACCTGAGGGCTCTGCAGCCAGAGGCTGGCTGTACGGACCCTGGAGCAGCTGAGCTGTGTGGCTTTTGTGCCCACTTCAGGGAGTGGTGGGAAATAGATTTTCAGTCATCTTCCGGAATCTCTCTAACAAGAGCAAGGGGTTGGCCCTGCTCTGAGTCACCTCCACTGCTTCCTGCCGAGGTGACCTTTAGGTGACTTGTCTGTGTTATCGCCTTGCATTCATTCACCGACACTCGGCATGTTTCAATGGCTCAGCTAGGCGTCCTGGGGACAGTGGGTGGGCACCTCTCCTCTCTTGAGTGAGGGCAGCTAAGCCTTGTGGAACTGCCAGGCCTTCACGGAGAATTAAAGGCGATTGTTCTGAATTGACAGCATCCTGGGGGTTTCCTCAGAATTTCTGCTCAGGCCAGCAAGGTCCTGGCCTGCATTCCTGTCTCTTCCCAGCTCCTGTCCTGGCCATGTGGCCTGGAGCAGTCTCTTTTCCTGTGTCTGTCCCTCCCTCACTGGCTCATCACTCTGGGATGCAGCCAGTGTTGGGAGGCTGGGATACAAGTGTTTGACACATGCTTGCGGGCAGCCAGCCCCGTCACCTAATTGGCCTGGAGTATTTGTGTGGGTGAGCAGGTGGGTGTGTCACCTTGGCATCCTTGAAGGCTAAGCACACACCACCCTTCCCTTCTGGCTTGCCGAGGGGCTGGGTCTGCCCTGCCCAGGTTGACCTCCAGACCTTTGGTCCTGAGATCTGTGCTGCTGGCTGCTGGCTCTGCGAAGGGGGTTGCCTGTGGCTGGCAGTGTGCCGCCTTGGCTTTGGGAGATCACTGTTTCTTGATAGTGGGGGGATTTGGGCTTGCCTCCAGTCGCCTTTTTGGGGCTGTTTCTGACTGGTGTTCAACCCTCTTAGCTCAGTCTCTGCAGTTGACTTATGAGCTCCTGCGTGGGCCTTGGGTAGAATAGGAAGAAACAAGGACGAGGTTTTTCCCCCGTAGAGCTTCCGTTTTGGTGGGAGGAGTCAGAGCTACAGGACAGAGACTATCCGGAGCAGGTGAGGAGGAAGAGGACTCATGAGGGCGGGCCTGAAGAGCCTCTTTGAGGTGATATCTGAAAACTGCCATCCAGGGGCAGAGGTCTCCCCCATGACAGGCAAGGGGAGAGGGGAGGGACAGGGCAGGTAAGCCCTGATGGGGTATGTGGCTTCATTCTCAGGGTGGCATGATCTGCCTAGATCTGAGCAAGGTCACTGGGCTGCTTTGCAAAGGGTTTCAGGAGACAAGAGGAATACCCGGGGTGGAGGCCGGAGCCTGATCAGGATCCTGAGCCAACCCAAGAAGGCTGACGGAGCAGGGAGGCAGAGGCTGGCTGCATCCTCTGGGCTCCGGGCAATGAGACTACGGTTGGCCTGGGGTCCAGAGTCAAGGCAGATATCTAGAGAGGCCCGTGCGCTTCAGAGCAGGAACGACTAGGTGTACAGCGCATTTCTTGCTGGCTTCCAGGAGAGGGTGGGTCAGCAGTTACTAGAACCTTCCAGCTCAGCCTGAAATCAAGCCCGGGACTGAGCCCCTTAGATAGACGGCCTGGCGCCCACTGAATGTTATCCTGCTGCAGAAGTCTGAAGCAGCATGAAACCCCTGGGCTCCTTGGGGCTCTGGGGTTGGGGTTAGAAACACTTGTTGCACGGATGGTGAAGGCGCTGCGCTCAGGAATGTGTGCTGACTCTACCACAGCCCAGCTGCTGTCTGTGGGGAGACCCAGGCTTCAGTAGGTCTTGGTCAGGGGTCTCCCTTTCTTCAGGCCATTCTGGATGGGGCCAGCTTACTCACGATCTAGAAACTGCCTGGAGAATGATGGCCAAGCAGATAGCTCTGCTGCAGGCTCATCAGTGCCTGGCCCCCAGGCCCTGTGGCTGTGGAAATGGGGTTGGCCTTTAAGCCCACTCCGGGGAACCCAGCAGCATGGTAGGCCCTCCCCAGTACCTGAGCCGGGAGGTGTCCAAGGTCACTCGGGATGGGGGTGGGGGTGGGACACTGTAGAAGCGGGGTGCTGCTGTGCCCTTGGGAATCCCTTTGAGGCTAAACTTGGGGCATCAGCAGTTCACCCACTGGCTTAAGGTGGGTGTTGGGCAGAAGCACAGTAGGGGGAACAGCCTGCCCTTTTTTCTCAGCACAGTGACTCTGACTCTGACCCTGAGTACTCGTCCCTGCCAGCATCCATCCCCAGTGCTGTGCCTGTGACGGGTGAGTCCTTCTGCAACTGTGATAATCAGAGCGAGGCCTCCTTCTGCAGCAGCCTGCACACAGCCGCGCACCGGGGCAAGGACTGCCAGTGCGGGGAGGAAGATGAGTGTAAGTGCCTGGCGTGGGTCACTGGGCTTGCTGGGGCAGATCTCTAGCCAGATGAGGAGGACCCAGCAGGGGTTCAAGAGACTACCCCAACCTGGCTTTTCCTCTCCTAGATTTTGATTGGGTCTGGGATGACTCGAATAAGTCCTCAGCCACCCTGCTGAGCTGTGACAACCGGAAGGTCAACTTCCACGTGGAGTACAGCTGCGGCACAGCGGCCATCCGAGGCACCAAGGAACTAGGGGAGGGGCAGCACTTCTGGGAGATCAAGATGACCTCGCCCGTCTACGGCACTGATATGGTGAGTGACAGGAAGGGCTGGAGCGGGGGAGCGCTGCTGGTGCCCTGGCACTGGCCCCCCTCTACCTGGCCCATTGTCTCCAGATGGTGGGCATTGGGACGTCGGATGTGGACCTGGACAAGTACCACCACACATTCTGCAGCCTGCTCGGCAGGGATGAGGACAGCTGGGGCCTCTCCTACACAGGTATGTGGAGCCCCTTGGGGCAGGCATGCTGGGAGGGGGCCCCGGACATCAGGCTAACCGCTCCGCTCCTGCTGCCCCCTAGGGCTCCTCCACCACAAAGGTGACAAGACAAGCTTCTCCTCGCGGTTCGGCCAGGGCTCCATCATTGGCGTGCACCTGGACACCTGGCATGGGACGTTGACCTTCTTCAAGAACAGGAAGTGCATAGGTGAGGGTGTCCAGGATCCCAGGGGAGACAAAGGCCTGTGGGGTGTGGTGCTACTGAGGTCCTGTAGGAAGCAGAGTGGCCCCAAGGCTTCCCAAAAAGGTATCCTTGAAGAAAGAAGCCTGAGGTCCCAGGGTCTGCAGAGGGTGGGACAGCACGAGGGCACCTTAGTCATCTCAGGAGGATGTCCAAATGGGTGGCTCCCCCCCCCCCCCCCCCGCCCAGGACTCAGGCTGTGCCCCCTCTAGGTGTGGCAGCCACAAAGCTGCAGAACAGGAAGTTCTACCCAATGGTGTGCTCCACTGCGGCCAAGAGCAGCATGAAGGTCATTCGCTCCTGTGCCAGCGCCACCTCCCTGCAGTATCTGTGTTGCCACCGCCTGCGCCAGCTGCGACCCAACTCTGGGGACACGCTTGAGGGCCTGCCCCTGCCACCTGGCCTCAAGCAGGTGCTACAAAACAAGCTGGGCTGGGTCCTGAGCATGAGCTGTGGCCACCACAAGTCTCCTGCGCCCTCTCCCAAGGCCACTGTCAGTCCCAACAGCCCAGAGACCCGGCGCTGCCAGAGAAAACGCTGCCGAAGGACCTAACTTATTTTCCAATGAAAATTGCCTTCTGAGGCTAGGACAGCATTTTCTCCATCCTTTCCCTTGGGCCACGCTCCAGAATATCAGAGGGAGGAGTTGGGCCAAGCAAGGCCGTCAGAGGTTAGGTCAGGCCTTGCCAGGGGTGCAGAGGCCGCAGGCCCTGGAATCCTGAGATCAGAACTGAATCCATCCGTTTCCTGTGCGGGTGTGGCAGTGGCTGCTGCTCTCCTTGGAGTCTCTTGGGAGTGGCCACCCAGCTCTTCTGGACTGAGTGCTGGCCTGGAGGCTGTGGTCTGTGGCCTCATCGGATGTCACCTTCCCTGTAGCTGCCAGCCTCCGGGGACGTTGGGTTTGTCCTCACTTGCTTTGCATGTTGTCAGTTCTTCCTGTCTGAGACTGAAAGGTTGTAATAAACTCTTGAGTTTATACCTAACACCTCCGTAGTGGTAGCATTAGGAGTCCATATCAAGATCTTTTCTCCCGTGGTTCTGGGGAAGAGGCAGCCCGGCTGTCTTTCCCCTGAAGGTGCCATCCCCAAGGGACTGGTGCATGTCCCCTAGCAGGGACTTAGATGCCACTCAGCCCTTCCTGCTGTCCCAATTGGCCCAGGCCTGCAGCCAGTGTGTACAGGGCCCTGCCCCTTCCTCCAGCCCCACGTGGAGTTTCCTCTGCTCATCGCTACCCAAAGCCTTTCCTCGCCTGTGACCCCCTAGGTTCAGACCTGGCTAAGCCCCTCCCCAGGCTGAGGGACAGTTGTGCTGAGTGACTGCTCTCCTCCCCCACCCCTTTGGTTTCTGGTCTCTCCCTTGTGCGGTGCCTTCTGGTCAGTTTGTTGGTGGGAGAAGGCCCTTGCACGTCAGGCGCTCAGATCCAGCAGGAGGTCAGGGTTGGTGGAGGTCAGGAAGAGGCAGATGCGACGGGAAAGGTCAGGCCCCACCCTTCGGGGCTCAGCGCCTCCATCCACCTTCACGGAGAGGTCAGCCAGGAGGGCCAGGCGCTCCTGGTCAGTGCCGCAGGCCAAGTACGCCTAGGGCAGGCACAGGGGTGAGCAGGGCAGGCCTGGGGAGCTGGCCCCCGTGTCTGGGAGTCTAGGAGGGAGCTCACCTGCTGCAGAAGGCGGGGTGAAGGGAAGGCAGTGACAACAGCATCAGCCACAGCTGGGCTGACTCGGTTGAACTGCCTAATCTGTCGCCACCAGGCTCCCCGAAGCCCTGTGCCTTCTCTTGTCACACGCTCGACTGCTGCCCAGCGCCCAGCTGTGCAGAAGGAAAAGGCCCCGGACTCTTGTAACTGCCTGATGGGGAGAGCACAGGAAGGTTTCTAGAGGCTTCCTCTCCTGACCGCCCAGTCCCCAGCTCAGCCCTCTGGCCTTAAGAGGCTCGGGAAGTACCACCCCTCCAGGTTAACACTCCCAGTAGCAGCCACCAGCTGAAAGGGGGGTCACAGACTTGAAGGGGCGCTGGGCGAGGGCCTTGGTGAAGGCGCACACGTGCTGACTCAGCTCCTGCCAGGAGGCCACCAGCAACACATCCAGGTTTGCCCAGAGCTGCAGGAGCACCAGGGCCTGAGGAGGACACAAGCCCATGAGGATGGGTCAGAGGAAGACACCAGCTGAGACAAGCTTCACATGCCACCCTGGCACCAACACCCAGGTGCTGGGCCTCTGAGACCAGCCTGTCAGGGCCAAGGCCAACCACCTCTCCCAACGTGCCCTGTCCTCACCTCTTCCACTTCAGGCCAGCCGACCGCCACCTCGGCACGGGCTATCCCTGGACTCGCTGGCTGCTGCATCTCCTGGGCATGGGGCTGGCGAGACCTGAACAGAGGTGACTGTCCCTCCAGCTCCCCATATCCCATTGGTCCCACCCTCCTCGAGTCCTGCTTTCTCCACAGCCCACCCAAGGGAGGGGTTTAGCAGCCCCAGAGCTACCTCCATCCTTTCCCTGAACTCCGCCCCTTCTCCCCCCAAGCCAGGCCTGCTAGGGTGTGAGGGTGACTGGTACCACAGGTAGGCATCCAGGCCGATGACAGCCAGGTGAAGGCAGGCGGGGCTCTCAGGAGAGATCCAGGGCACTGAACAGGCGGGGCCACAGATCTGCAAGCCAAGAAGGTTCACCACCCCTGTTCCTGGGGCTGCGGTTGGCGGGGCTCACCAGACTACTGCCAGTTTGCAGAAAGAAGGAGAGCAAGAACCACCAGTGGTGCTGGGAGGAGCCTGGAGCACACTTCCTCTGCCCTGCCAGCTCTCTAGAAAACCAGCTGGGTGCCTCTGATGAGGTCAAGGGGACCTATGAAAGCCCTCAGGCACGTCCAAGATACAAGTCCCCATTCCCATTCTTGGCCCACTCTGCATCCCAGCCTGGTATTTGCCTGACAGCAGGTACTTGATAAATGCTGAACCTTAGGCACAAACATCAGCTGAGCAGCCCCTATTGCTCCTTCCGCCAGGTGGGGTCTGGGCCGCTGGATCTCATAGCTGGACTGCACAGCCAACTCGCAGCCCAAAGTCCCCAGGCCTCCTCTTACCAGTTCCCCACTTCTGGCTTCTGACTCTCCAGAGACCCCTCGTCACCCTTCTGCCCTCTAGAAAAAGCTGTGGCTCCTGTCTGCTCCCTGCCAGCTTCCCTCATCTCATTCACATCTTGGCTGCTGAACAGAGAGGAGCCCCAGCCCACTGCATGCCCTCTCCAGTCCTTCTGTCTTTGGTCAGGACTGGCAGAACAGCACATCCAGGCTGGGAACCCAGCCCCCCTCCAAGCACCTGGGTCAGCTGGGAGACACCCTGCAGAAACTCCTCAGGCTCCAGCAGCAGCAGCAGACGTTCCTGCTCACCCGCAGCCCACACTTCAGGAGGCACCTACAGGGATATTCAGGGGTCCTACTGCTCAGCCTCAGACTCAAATGTCCCAGGGCCTTGGCACGGGCAGCACAGCACCTTGAGGCTCATGGCCACAGGCAAGCATCCATGCCCACAAAGATCTACAGAAGCCAATGTGATCTACCACGGCCAAGACCAGCCCTGGTCCATATGGCCGGCAGGAGCACTGAGCACTGAGCACAAATGGGGAACATTTCTCAGCACCAGATGAGTTCAGACTCTGGACTCAGGCCTGCAACTGACCATTGTAGTGGCTTGGGCATCACCCTCGCAGCAGCATTCCCCATTCTTAGCTTATGTGCATGATTACAGCAACTGTCTCATGAAACCACAGAGGTAAAACACCCTCCCCAGGGCCGGGCTATGTAAACCCTGGAAATGAGGCTGCTGGGGCACTCACACTGCAGGGGCAAGGTTCTGGCTTGACTCTGCTCCACCTGAGGCTCCGGGCGGGGCGCTGGGGCTCGATGTGGTACTCGCAGCCCAGGGAGCCCAAGGCCTCCATCAGGATGTCAGCACCAGCATCTTCCAGGATAGCTAGGGTGAGCGGAAGAGACAGCTGTCATTCCTTTTCCTCCACGTGAGGATGCCGCTCCCAGCAGACCCCCAGCCTGGATGGCGTATTACAAACACGCTGATTCTGCCGGCTCTGAGAGCGCCATTGGGTCCAGTTCCCAAATCTTTTAATCAAGCTTCCCAGTTGGAAAGCCGGCGCCAATTCTTGGCCAAGAGGCGGCCTTGACAGATGCCCCTGTCACCCCGCCGTGGGCCGGGGATAACCTCCCAGTGACTAAGAGGAGCTTCCAAAACCCAAGTTCCAGCCGCAGTGTTGCTTCTCCCAGGACACCTGCCCTCGCGCTCGGGCGCACCTGGGTCCACGCGCACCGCCAGGCGCCGCAGTGCCTGCTTGGGCCGCAGCAGCCGCAGCGCCTCGGCCGCCGCTCTGCGCTCCTCGGCCGCCGCTCTGCGCTTCTCCGCCGGGTCCCGGGCCCTCACGGCGGCCTCAGAGTCGGCTTCCGCGCCGACAGGCCCCTCAGTGTCCGAATCCGAGATCTCCCAGGTCGTGGGCCGCCGCTGTCCCCGGCCCCGACGCGAGCGCCTTACCATCCCGGACCCAACCTTCGCCATAGTCCGCCCGCCCCCTCCGCTTCCTGTCGCGCCCGGACGCCTTTGTAGAGAACACCAGCCGCTTCCGGTCGCGTCCGGATGCCTTTGTAGAGAACACCAGCCGCTTCCGGTCGCGTCCGGATGCCTGTGTGGAGAACACCAGCCGCTTCCGGCGGCGGGCGGGCTTAGCGGAGCGCGGCGGGGCTGCTGCTCACAGGGAGGCACGGGCAGGCCATGGCGCGTAAGAAGGTGCGGCCGCGGCTGATCGCCGAGCTGGCCCGCCGGGTGCGGGCCATCCGGGAGCGACGGGAGCGGCCACGCGACTCCCAGCTCTACGCCCTGGACTACGAGACGCTGACGCGGCCGTTCTCGGGCCGCCGGCTGCCCATGCGGGCCTGGGCGGACGTGCGCCGCGAAAGCCGCCTCCTGCAGCTGCTCGGCCGCCTCCCGTTCTTCGGCCTGGGCCGCCTCGTCACGCGCAAGTCCTGGCTGTGGCAGCACGACGAGCCGTGCTACTGGCGCCTCACGCGTGTCCGGCCGGACTACACGGCGCAGGTGCGTGCGCCCGCCCTCCCCGTCCCGCTCCCGAGAAGAGCTGCACGGCTTCCCCTGCACGCGGCGCTGTGGGGTGTGGTCTCCTGCGCGCTGCCCTCTGGGGAGAGCTTTGCGAGCTGGCCCCCTCCCTCTTTGCTTTGCAGAACTTGGACCACGGGAAGGCCTGGGGCATCCTGACCTTCAAAGGTAAGGAGTCCGGAGACCGTCAAGGGTGGCTGCTGGCAACAGACTGATTGTCCCGCAAGTGAGTGCCGCAAATCCCGTCCTTCCTTCCCCAGGAAAGACGGAGAGCGAGGCCCGGGAGATCGAGCACACCATGTACCACGACTGGCGGCTGGTGCCCAAGCACGAGGAGGCGGCCTTCACCGCCTTCACGCCGAAGCCAGAGGAGGCACTGCGCGCCGTGCCCTACCCGCCGCTGCTTCGCGCCATGATCCTGGCGGAGCGACAGAAAAATGGGGACGCCAGCACCGAGGAGCCCATGCTGAGCCTGGAGAGAGTCCCTGTCCAACCCTGGGACTACCCTGAGAAGCAAGAGGCCAAGAAAAGGGCCAAAGGCACTCCTGTCTGAAGTGCCAGCGCCAGCAGTTTGTCTAAAGGGTGTGAGGCAGCGGGCACCGTTTTGGTGAATTAAAGTGTCCGTGTTACTCCTGAATCAACTCCCTGGGACCTCGGTGACCTTTCTGAGACTGCGCGGAGCGGAGTGGTGCCAGACCCCGCACCCGTGTCCTTCTCTGTCCCTGTTCTCCCAACCCAAATCTGACCGAGGGCTTGTGGTGTCTTGGAGTGTTGGGAGGAAGACTGACACCGTGGGATATGCGGTCGGGTGAGGGCCCCGCAGGAGGCCGCTGCTGGGGAAGCTGGAAGCAGCGGGGCTACCCGTGTGCATCTCCAGGTGGCATCCCTTTCCCAGTGTGCGGTGCCTCAGCCAGGACCGGAGCTTGAGAGCCAATAAAGGCAAATAAAGCAGCCCGGGTTGTGGTTTCTTCGCGTTTCGGGTGGGTTTTCTGTAGGAGGAGGGAGGAAGATTGACGCTGTGGAGGGCCTGAGGTCCACGCCCAACGGGGTACAGACGTAGCTGTCCCGGGGTCCCCCGTTGGGCGTGGACCTCAGGCCCAGCCTCACCGCTTCTCCCCGGAGGCCGGCACCAGGCGGGTCGGGCCGCGGCCCCTTTAAGCGCTGGCCCCACCCCCAGCCCGGTCCGCGCCGCACTCCAGCCGCGGCGCCATCATGATTTGCTTGGTGCTCACCATCTTCGCCAACTTGTTCCCGGCGGGTAAGCGGGGGCCGGGCGGGGGGCCGGGCCGGCTGGGCGCGGGTCGGGCCGGGCTGACGCGCCGCCGCCTCGCGGTCCCGCAGGCCGCGCCGGCGTCCAGGAGCGCACCTTCCTGGCCGTGAAGCCCGACGGCGTGCAGCGGCGGCTCGTGGGCGAGATCGTGCAGCGCTTCGAGAGGAAGGGCTTCCAGCTGGTGGCCCTGAAGCTGGTGCAGGTGGGGCGCGGCGCGGCGCGGGGACGGGGCCGCAGGAGGGGGGCGGGGGAGACGCGGCCTCAGAGCTGCAGCCCATCCCCTCCTCCCCAGGCCTCGGAGGAGCTGCTGCGCGAGCACTACGCGGAGCTCCGGGAGCGCCCCTTCTTCGGCCGCCTGGTCCGGTACATGGGCTCGGGGCCCGTGGTGGCCATGGTGAGTGCCGGCCGGGAGGCGCGCCGGCCCCGCGCCGACCCGCGCCCTGACCCGCTGCACCGGCCTGTCCGCAGGTGTGGCAGGGGCTGGACGTCGTGCGCGTCTCACGGGCGCTGATTGGGGCCACGGATCCAGCAGATGCCCCACCCGGCACCATCCGAGGAGATTTCTGCATCGAAGTTGGCAAGTAAGGCCGGCCCCGGTCCCGGGGACATTGCTATCCCCTTCCTGGGGCCCCTGCCCGCACTCACTGGCACTCACTGGGCCTTTCCTCGCAGAAACGTGATTCATGGCAGCGACTCCGTGGAGAGTGCCCGCCGAGAGATCGCGCTCTGGTTCAGCCCCAAAGAGCTGCTCTGCTGGGAGGACAGCGCCGCGCACTGGCTGTATGAGTAGCCGCAGGGGACCCGAGGCTGAGCGCCCTGGGCCGAGGACGGGTGTGCTGCGCTGCAATCAGTGTGGGTGACTTGGCACCCTCCAGGCCCTTCAGACCTCCCAGACGACAGATGGGTCTGCCCAAGCATTGGCGCGCTGTTTAATGCGCCTGGAAACGCACCAGAGCGGTGGCCCTGGCGCTTGGCTTGGTCCAGCTTTTCTTTTTATAATAAACTAAAGAAAACCCTCGTGCTCACGTTGGTTTGGGTTCAGGGACACACAGGAATCGGGATAAGACATTTATTACACACAGAGCAGATATGTGGGTTTGCTTGCAGGGCTAAAGCCTGAGAGTAGTCACCCAGCCCCTTCCCCCAGCTGCATCCACCCAGACAACCCCGTCATCCATGGCCCTGTGGGAACAGACAAGGGACTGGACATACATCACAGTGGAGAGTGGCAGGGTGGTGGGAGAAGCCTACAGCTGCATGTGACTGCAGAGGTGTCTGGCCGGGCCGTGGCATGGCTGCCCAAGATCTGTGCTTCTCTGGTGGGAGGTGCGTGGGCAGCAGGGCCTGGGGCTGCCCTGGTCAGTGTTTCTCAGAGCAGGAATAAGGCCTGGGCCTGGGCAGGTGGGGAAGCAGCAGTCCAGGGCGGTGCCCTTTAAAGCGGGTGGGTGCATGCTCCAAGAGCCAGGGAGGGGGCCCTGTCCGTAGCCCTTAGGGTCTCTGCTGCCAGCCTGTCAGTTGCCCTTAAGGGAGAAGGCTACACCACCAGCCCGAGGCACTTAGTAACGTGTCTTGGGAGTTGGGCTCCTTTAAGACTGCTTGGGAGGCAGGCCCTGGAGCACACCTTCTTCCATCACCCTGAGGCTGAGCCTGTATCCTAGTCCCCCCCCACCCCCCACCCCCTTCCTGAGGCTTGGGTCTGCCCTGGCAGCCTGAGAAACCCCACCCTGGGCCTTCCAGGGGTAGGACTGCGGGCCTGCTTCTACAAGGTGGGGCTTCTGCCCGGGAAAGAGACACAGGGGTTGAGGGCTGGCGAGAGCCTGCCACATGGTAATCGGGGAACATGAGTGCGATGAGGGCACCTAGCTTCTCAGACAGCTGCCCCAGGGAGCCTGCATACATGCTTTCATGCCGTTTCCTGGGGTGGCAGGGATGGGCATGGGGAACCCAGGGAAGGCTAGTGGCTGGGCTGGCTCCCTTACGGTCAGAGCCCCCATGACCAGCAGGCAAAGGCAAGTGGGCCTCAGCAGTGAGGACCCGCCTCCTCCCCTGTGAGCTGGGGAGCCCATGGTGCAGGTAGGAGCTCCCTGCGGGCTGTTCACTCTGGACTTCTGCCATGTTCTGGCCCTCGGGGCCCCAGGTCTGGATTCTGGACCAGGCGCTGGCCAGGCGCTGCTTGGAAAAGGGTGTCCCCAAAGGCCGTCCCTCCCACCTCCCAGCCAGATCCGCTTTGCTGCCTGCGCCGCCCCTGTCAGCTCCCAGGCCCGACCTAAGGTGAAAGCTGCAGGTTGAGAGGTTAGAGGGGCTGGTGGGCTGCCCCGTGGGGCAGGTGGGCATATATATGTACACGGTGGTGCCGGGAGGGGCAGTGGAGGCCACGCCTCACTCCGGGGAGTAGGACACCTGCCACACGATGATGTGGCTGCGCTCGGCCTTGGACAGCATGGGCTTCACCTGGCTCACGTCCCCTGCGCTCTCCTCCGTCTCGTCGTCCTCCCCGTCGCCTGCGGAGAGAGCGGATGGCGGTGAGGGGCAGCCGGCCGAGGGTCCCCGGGGCAGCAGGCGGCACCACTCACCGATGCGGAAGTCAATGTAGCCCTCGCCGCCGCTCAGCACCAGCACGTTCTTCAGCTTCTGGCCCTCGGCCTCGGGGGCGGTGGGCCCGGGGCTCTCGGACGGGCTGTCCAGGACACTGCCATTGAGCGTGGCCAACACGTTCCCTGTCGGGGGGTACAGGGACCGTCGGAGGGCGGCCAGAGCCGACACGCAGGCTCCTGAAGGGGGCCGCAGTGCCGCCTGCAGGGAGGGGCCCGGCGCTCACCTGGCACGGAGACGAAGAACTTGACGGCGTCCCGGTGCCCGTGGAAGCAGAGCTGAGCCTGCGCCATGGAGCAGTAGGGGATGAAGCTGCTCGCCGACTTGTCGGCGCTGTCGTCGCCGTACACGTGGATGACGCCTCCCGGGCGGGCCCCCTCCCCAGAGGTGGGGGACGTCTTGTTGGCTGGTGACAGAGGAGCCGGGAGGGGCTGAGCCATCGAGTGGGAAATTCCCACGCAGGCGAGGGCACAGGGCGGGAGCGGGCTGCGGGCTGCGGGGCATCCTGGGTGGGGGGCTGCTTTCTGAGAGCAGGAGGCAGGCTGTGGACTTACCTCGGAGCCCCAGGAGCTGGCCTCGGTGCAGAACCACAGCTGGGGGAGGGGAGGGGAGAGAAGCAGTCACAGGAGGAGCAGGACAGGGTGGCTGTGGCCAGCGGCGCAGCCACGTCCTCCCGAGTGGCCTGGCCGAGCACCCCCTCACCCCCCGGGACCCCGCCGCATGCCCCTCAGCGGCTGCCATCGCCATCCCGCGGGGGTCGGCCACTCACTCTCGGTCAGCGGGATGGAGATGACCACGCCGTTGCCGGTGCCCACCCAGAGCCGGTTGCCCGCAATCAGCAGGGCCGTGATGCGCACGAAAGAGAAGCCCAGCTTGCCGGTGCCTGGGGGGGGGGGGGGGGAGAAGAGGAGGGGGAAGAGGAGGGGGAAGGGGAGGACGCGGGGTCAGGGCTGCCTCGGGACCTCCCTGCCCTGCCAGGCCAGCCCAGCAGCCTCACCCAGCATCTTGCTGACGTAGGGCTCGATGTCCACGTCCTGCAGGTGCTGGTGGGTGTGGGCGTGATACAGCCGCAGCGTGGAGTCCAAGCGGATGGACACCCACACCCCGTCTCCGATCCACGCCAGCTGCCGCACTTGGCTCTCCCGCCGTGGGTGGGCATCGAACGACTTCTGCGGGGTCACAGCAGCCGTCGGGGGCAGGGGCAGGGGAGCTGAGCCTGCCACAGCGAGGCCTCCCCTGCTGTCTGCCCCGCTCACTGTAACCTTGGCTCTAGGAGGCCCAGCCAGCCACCCACACCCTGAGCCCGCGTTCAGGTAGCCGGATTCCACACAGGTGTCGGCTTGACTTGTTTCAGAATGAAGCTCCAGACAGACTGGCATTCACAGTCCAGCCACCCTCTACCTGCCTGTGACCTTGGACAAATGAGTCACTTCCCTGAATGCAGTTCCTCTGACCCCATGGAGCCCCCACCATCTACCAGAAGGTGTGTCAGGAGCAGTGCTGACAGCAAGAGCCCCTCTCCCCTCCAGCCCGCCCACCAGCACTTGCCTCTATCTGCATCGTCTTGGGCTGAATGACGTGCACCTTGTTCTTGTAGCCGCACCAGACCCGGTCGTACACCACGGCCATGCAGCGGATGGAGTGGTGTGGGTGGCCCAGGTCCATCAGGTGATAGTTGCTCAGGTCCCACTGGCCATCTGCAGAGCCCACCACACCTGCTCAGGCCTGGCCAGGCTCCACATGTGCTCACAGAGCGTGGTTCACACCCGCCAGGGCCCTCAGGGCCGCCCGCCTGCCCACTGCTGCCAGCCTCACCTTCGCCACGGTGGAAGATGGCCAGGGTCCCGTCGGCCAGCGCCACCAGCACTCGTCCCTTCACGTGCCTGGAACGGGAGGGTGGTGAGCCAGGCTCAGGCTGGGCCGTCCGAGGCCCCTCCTGATGCTGGCTCCCGGCTAAGAGACGTACACCAAGCTCAGCACGGAGTCCTTCAGCTTGATGGAGTGCAGGCACTTCTTCCAGTTGGAGACGGCCGAGTGCACGTACAGCCTGCAGGAAGGGGAAGGCTGAGGTAGGCAGGGACTTGCCCAGGGGCCCTGCCCCACTCCTGCCCCTAGAGCCCCACGCACCAGCCATTCTGGGCTCCCAGCCACATGGTGGGCGAGGCACTGCTGCCGGCCCCCTTGGCGTCCCCACTGGGCTCCGGCTCGGGCTGCACATCACTCGAGTTCGCCTCTGGGCCACTCTCACTGCAGGAAGGATGATGGCTCTAGGGTACCCCACGGAGGCCGATGGCTGCCCACCTCTGTCAGCCTCCCCTCCCCTCCCCTCCCCTCCGTCTCTGCCACCTCTCAGAGGCCCACCTGCCAGGCTGGGCGCTGGGGGGTGGGGCCGGGGCCGGGTCGGTGAAGACGTGTTCCGTGAGGGGCCCGGGCCGCACTGCAGCTGCCTCTGCCTCACTGGGCCCAGAGTCAGGGACTTCTGTGGCCTCCGTGGCCTCTTCCGTGGACTGTGAAGGGTTGACCTTCCCATTGGCGACAGCAGCCACCTCCCCTGTGGAAGGGAGAGGTGAGCCTGGCTGGGCAGGGAGAGGGACGAGGGGGCAGGGAGCAGGCTGCTCCGGGCTCAGGCCCAGGACTCACCCTGGCCCTTGTCCAGCACGGGGGTGTCCCCTCGGGAGGAGCAGTTGCTCCGTGGCACGTTGCAGCGTGTGGCGCAGCCCACGAGGGTGATGCCGGCCAGCACGCCGTCTGCGCCCGAGTCCTCGGGGTTCACGTCGCTGTCCAGGAAGATCTCCCCCGGAGGGTAGTCACTGTCGCTGGCCGCTGCAAGACCACACCCAGAGCTCATTCCCGTTGGGGAGGGAAGGAGGGAGGAAATGGAGGTCACCTGCTGGCGCCATCCCATCTACTTCTAACCACTTCTCCTGTGTCCTTAGACTGAGCAGGGTGAGGCCACCAGCGTGGCTCCCCTCGGACGCCCCCACCAGCTCCCGTGTCCGCGGGGTGTCACCGAGGCCAGTGCTTCCCCGCACGTCTCCTTCCTCCACACCCTTGTCCTCCGAGCGGCACAGCCCTCCTGCCCGGCGCTGGCTCTGAGGGCGGCTCTCACCGGGGATGCTGGAGATGCACAGGACGTGGGCGTTGCAGACGGTGAACTGGTCCACCACGGTGCCCGGCTGGTTGGCATCAATGATCACC